CGTTACAAGGAGGGATTGTAAACCCTTAACCCTCCGCAAAAACGTTTTCTTGGCTTTTCAGCAACCTTCACTCAAGTCCTTTGAAACATGGCAGGTGCCTAAATGAACAGAATTCTTCTAAACAAACTGTTCCAGTGAAGGTTTCCAGAAGCAGCATAGCCCTGGTAGGGTAACTACAACTGAACACAGGCATTGTAACCACAGCACTGGGCATTTTAATAGCAAAATTTAAGCTTGCCTGATTTGGAATGCATTTCCAAGGATCCCTGGGCAGCACCTGGAGCAAGGCCAGCCTCAGTTTTCAGCCTTTCATGAAGTCTAATCCCAGCTGAGCCATGAAGCTGCAGTGGGTAGTCAGGCAAGTCCCCTGCATCGGTGCCTTACCGCTGGACACCTGAATAAGCAGGCTAATTGTCAGAAGTGTGGAGTACCCACCACACCCAGCTAATTCACTAGGAGCAAAATTAAGAGTGAGATGTAGTGCTTATCAAAACACCTCCGGCAGGACAACTCTTGCCAGAAGACTCAGAAGCAGAGAAATACGGGCATTGTTTTGCCTTGGAATCAGTAGTTGTTGGAAGGAATGAATAGGGAACTGGGTTACTTATGAGACACCAGTTGGGATGTCAAGCCCACCATTAGAGTTACCTACAATGTGCCTTCTTTCTAAATTACCGTCTGCTCCAGAAAAACGTAGTAGTCTCTAACGTACACTCATTAAGTCTTACAAGCTGAATTCCCCTCTCCAGCTTCCACACATGTAGTGGCTGCAGTCTGGGGGCTGCCAGGGAGAGGCTGCAGATGGTTTTTGGGGTGGTTTCTGGAGACCTCAGTCCCTACTTAGTGACAACAATAATCTAAAATAAAAAAGCAGAGCAGTTATGCTAATTCATCCCAGCTGAGAATCTAGCCCACGGGGAAGCATGGAAGCAGACTGGGCTCGCTCAGATTTCGTTGAAGTTTTCATGCCCAGCCATTTGCTTTGCTTTCAGCATGTAAACGTGATTTGTCCCTGTTTTAACAAAATCTCTTCCATGCCCGCGTGCTTTGCGGAGGCCACTGAGAAAAAGGGAAAAAGGACAAACTTTTAAAGAGAAACAAGCTGAAATAAAATTTAACATGCAACATAAAAACCCACATACACCTCATTGTGTGCAGGGTGATAATTTACAGTTGATTAAAGAGTTTGTGTTTTTTTTTAATCTTTTTTTAAAGGGAAAATTACTTCTGAAGGTGAAGATGTGCTTAGACAATCATATTAACATATTCGAACAATTGCAATTTGCAAAATAGTAATTACAACTCACTATCTGGCAGCATTAATCAAACTTCAAGGTTTAATTCCATTTTAAATATTGATGAAATGTGATTCTCCAATCTAACCCTGGTGTTGCAGGGTTATGGAAGCAGCCAGTGACAGAGAAAGGGGAGCGTGCAGTTAACAAGCAGCTGCCACAAAGAAGGATCGGCATCTGTGATTTAAATTGTTAGCTGCACAGTCAGGTAGAGTGTAAAAAGGGTAGTCAAGAGGCTGTTAAGTCCATTGCTGCCAATTACTAACAATCAGGGAGGAGCTTTAAGACTTGTTCAGTACAATAAACCCAGTTTGTCTTGTTTCAGGGGTTACTACTGAAGAGGTTGCAGCTGCACTGATTCAAATAGCCCTAAAACTACAGTAATTATCAACCAGTCTCCTTTAGTGTGGCAAAAGTATGTTTTACCATAGCTTAACTCTTTACATTCTAATATTTCTCTGCCTCTTTACATGTAGCTAGCCCCTAGAGCCATTCTCAGCTCTGCTTTTTCAGTTCTTCTAGCTGCCCTGGATAGGGCCTTTCCCTTGGTCCTGATCTCAGCCACTGGAAAACTTCTGCGGTGTCCACCAACTGGACAGTAGCCCTGGATATTTTCCTCACTGTTGGGACTATAGAGTCCTTACATCTGTTTTCTTTCTTTGGTTACCAGTGTGTCTTGCCCACCTTCCAGGGACACAGCCCTGCTGGAAATAGGGAGTACAAGGTACTGAGATAACTTGGAGGATGAGGGCTTGAAACCAGGCCCTATCAGATCCTCTGCACTTTCTTTTCCACTCAGGTTCTCTCTCCAATTCTCCACTCAGTTTCCAGTAAGGAGCTCCTTTACTGAAGTTCAGTAGCAAGTAAAATGTGAGCATGCAGAAGGATGGGATGGAAAAGCCTACTGAAAATATTCCAAAGTCAAGGTACACTGCTGCCTGGAAGGAAATGTGGAGTTTGGTCACTCTCACTCAGAGGAGATACAGGAGAGATGGTGTCTAGCAATCAGCAAGGAACGTGCTAGAGGTAGAGAGCTCACAGGGTTCGGGATAGAGAGGAGAGAAATAAAAGGGGAGATGGCAGAGAGATGCAAAGTACTAAGCACAGGCAAGGAAAATCAGATGCTTTTAATTAACCCTTTCCCATAATACACCATTGAAATCAACACTAGCCGAGTCAACTTGGACTTCACCTTGAAAATCGTCATTTGTCACAGTCTTTGTCAGTGCTTATTTACTATTATTTAATTTGCATAGTCAGAGCACCGCATAAGCTGAGTCGAGGTAGTGTTTGCATTGGAAGAGAATCTAAAATCCTTAGTGGAAATGCATTTTTTATCTGGTTGTCTCCTGAAAGAATGACTTATTCTGTGCCAGTCTGGATGAACCCAGCACCTGGTGAAAAATCATCATCTGAATCTGCCTTTCATATTGGTCAGCTGAGCACCACAATTACATGCCCATATACAAGTCTTTCAAGGAAGGCAGTTTTACTTGGTGCAGCTCATCTGATTTCTCACCTTCTTATTAAGACATAAGATACCAGGATAAGTGACAAGGGAAGTTTAGCAGACAGAGATTTGGGCTGATTTCTTCATTTCAACAGAAACAGACAGAATTAAATTTTCCCAACGTTCCTCACACCTGGAACAGCCGCTCTTATATCAAGGCAGTACTACCACAAACGCCTGCAGCACACTAACAGCCACAACACTGTCACATCGCGATACTTACTGGGACCACTTCCACAACATCTAGCTCATAGAAATAGGAGCTGGCATGAGAAATGGGGGCAGGGGGTGGAGGCAGGCATAACACAATTTATTGACAACACCCTTTTGTATTCCTGCTACAGACTTCAGGAGGATCTTTGTGTAGGGACCCCTGACCCAGACCTTAAACATCTATTTTTTTCTTTAAAGTCTTTCCTGTTAAAGAGCATATTCTAGTGATGCTTATTTCCTCAGAGGTTCATTACTGGGCGAGTTGCTACTGACACATTCATTACAAGGAAAAGGGAGTAAGAGGATGCATCATATCCATGGGCAAAGACAGACATGTATCCACTTAGGACTTTGCATAAGAATGACATCGCTGTATCACAGCCTACAGCAGCTGAAGCAAATCTATAGGCTAAATTAAACAGGTGGAAGGCAGTCCTGCCGTCCCAGTCCCGGATGGAAGGGTGGCACTGAAATGTATGCTGCTGATTAGCAAAGAGAGCTTTTACAAAATATCGCCTGACGCATGGAGCGGAGAGAGAGAGAGGTGGTGACACAAGCACAAAACAACCGCTTTGTCTATGAAACAGTAACCGGACACAGAAGAGTGACCCAGAGAAAAGCGTCTCTCATGGAAAACTTCTGGTCATTCACTGCAACCTCTGACTATTGTTTGGAGAGGGGGAAAGGGACAAATGCCACCAGTTAGACTCGGGACAGAAGCCTTGGCATGTGCTTTAGCTAAGTGTGCATTCACTTCAAGTGAAGCAGGCAAGAGCAAGCACTCGATCTGCTTGTACCAGAAAAAAAAGTGTGTATGGGGAGGCAGCAATAACAAAGGAAGAAAGAGAAGAGAACAGCGTGAAGAACTTGATTCAAAGCCTGCTGAAATCAGGGGGCTCAAGCAGTTGCTTAGACTTTTGCAGAATCAGGACCTAACTGTCTATACAAGCCTTTAGCTTGCTTCACATCTCCTTAGACCATCACCGTTGCGTTTATATAGCATTAACACTGAACGTGCTGCTACTGCAGTTTAACTTAAAGTTCCACCTCAAAGGCAGACAACTCCCTTCCTCATTAGTGACACATTTCTTTTCTAGTCTAATAAAAGACCAGGTCATTGGGCTGTAAGCATTGCTGGTATCAGGAGCCTAGAAATTTCAGTCCAGGCTGGTTAGCAGCACAAATTGCAAACAGTTTAACTGGGAAAGCCAGAGACAAGCAGAAGTAGCTCGACTACAGTATATTTAATTTGGATACAAATAAGCACGGGTACAGTTTTAAGTAGCATAGCTTCTTTTGTTGCGTTTTCTTTTACCTGATCCGCTACACAGACTTTTCTTTTCCTGTCACCACCATGGTATAAGTCCGTCTAACAAGTTTTGCAGACAGGCTGTTTTGATCGCTTGAATTGAAAGCCCCTAACTATTCATGATTGTCAAGTTATAATTTTCTGTAATTATTCAAAATATTTCTATTCACCCTTTGCTGGATAGGTATTTTTTCCTCAAGTGCCTTTGTGATTTTCATTTTTTACTCTATTACTGTGCTCTGTGATTTACTACCATGGCAGACATTGAATAATTGCGAGGGATACAGAAGATTGTCTACAACACTTACATCAGCTGGTGTTCCAGGTTGTCAATATGTGGGATAACAGGGCTTTTTTTAATCATGGTTTTGGAAGAAAAGCTGTGAAACACTGGGTTTGTTTTCTGGACACTTCACCAACTGCACGTTTCATAATCGGACACCAGCACAGACAGAATTAAGTTCTGCGTTCATTACTGATGCTCGCACACTGTCTGCTGCCAGTAGTCACGGGTAGTCAGAAATGACATTGTTTATAGGAAAGCCTTCTAATTCTTTCCATTACTTCCAAACAGTTAATGTTACAAACTGGACTAATGCACAGAGCGCCTGTCTGAGCTATGCAGCGCCAATTGAACCTGTGATATCTGACCCTTTCTTTGTCTCCTTTTCAGATGATGATGAACATGAATGGATCATTCGGACTTGCCGAAAAGGTTGGGATGAGATAATTGGACGTAAACCTAAACTCTGAGCACTGATTTTGCTTTTACTGCGATTTTGGAAAGCCGTGAATTTGCTTCATCCTTAAGTCTAAATTTCCTTGTGGATCTACACCAGCCCCTACGCGAATGTAGCTTTTGTTAGTATAATAAAGCTGGAAGCAGGATTTAATCAGTTGTGTTCACGCAAAGTCATGGAAGCAAGCACATTATACTTATCCTAATATTCATGAGAGGTGTGCAGTGCAGTAGGATCTCAATACATAACACATGATTAAGCCTCAAAACAATCTGCCAGAAAGAATACCTCAAATTCAGTGTTTGAAGCCATTCAGCTCCGTCTTAATCAACATTATTTCCATGGGTCCTAGTTAGCTGTCCTGGTGAATTCCTTTCCTCTCCCTTTGCACAGTACTTTGATATTGATTGATCATTGTAATAATGTATACCAGAACCATTCTTTAATGACTGGTTTGCTAACTAGGAAATTATATCCATTTACCACGAACATTTGTTGAACTCTCCTGAAGCCAGAGTTTAACAAAATAATACAAGAGAAAAACTGGGTGGGTTGCTGCCTGATGAGTAAGCCAGAAAGTATTTAAAAATAAAATAAAATGGAATTACATCATTTTCTTGATGTAAGTGCCAGCACTTCTACTTGCATGAACTTTATTTATTACACAAATAAGACATTTACAAAGCACAACATTAAAAGTATGTAACAAAACAGACATTGGTTTTACAAAAAAGTGCTTACAATTTAGTTTTAGGTTTTTGTTTTTGTTTTTTTTTAATAAATATTAGTCTTGACTGTCCACTCATTCAAAGGATTTTCTTTAACCATTGTAGCCAAGACATGCATCATTGCAACATGTTACAGTGAAACGATCAGCTTTTGAAATAAAACTCTTGATAAGTGTCTATAGTTGGCATCGTGTTACTAGGTCTGACTATATCACTGAGAGCAGCAGTGCAGGCTTTTTCCCCTTGTTCCCCCATCCCAAATAATAAGTCATGTAAGCACCTTTATCTGGGGTACTGGGGTTAACCTACTTGAGCCCAAAACCAATATAGTTTGGAAATAAAATTGTAAACCATTCCGTTTTCAGACCCCCGTCGTATGTATTTCTCTTGTTCACTTCTAGCGGAAAGTTTGCCTCTCACTAGCTACCCTCACAGGATTCAGTCTAACTTTTTTTTTTTTTGTAAATAGCCATTGGAAAACTTCAATACACAGAGTCTGCAGTACTGCACCATGACCCATTTGGCAATTACTGAACAAACAAAGTAAATGAGAAGGGTTTATAAAAAAAA